CCAAATATTTTGGTACATGTAAAAACTTTCCTTATCCTTATGTCCCTTCTACACGGGCTTCGTGGGTAAGCGCTTAGCATTTGATACTCATACTAAGTCCTAACGTGCAAACACGCTGATTAGTGTTTAGTATAAGTATTTGTGATTAAAAAACGACCCTATTTACTAAGCGACAAGTCAATACCAGGTACTAAGCACTTAGCTACGAAACCCGTGCAAACCGGACATTTAGCACAGAAGATCAACAATGATCGAGTACTTTATATACCACACGAAAAAAAGATAGAAACTATTTTTTAGAGTAACGAAGTAAGTAACATAATTAAACGCAAAAACGAAATTATCTGTAGTAAGCAAACAAAACAATGGGTGGCTACATTCACGTGTTTCAAAGGTTCATATAGAACCTCCGCCTACAAGGGTGGCATGGGACAGGGACAATATTGATGCCTTGGGCAATCTGACCCAACCGCAACCCCGGGCACCCTGGGCAAATACCAGTAATGGCGAAACTAGTTACGGCATGTTTAAGAGTTATACAGATTCTGTGTTGGGTGTTAGTGATGAATTTGCGTGATGCTATATAAGGGTATTATCGATACTATAAAGTTATCAAAGAGGGGAAAAAGGAAGGCAGGAACTTAAGGTGTTGTCAATGAATTAAATATAAATTAAGGAATCTTAATCGACCATAAATGTTTTATTATTTTGTTTTTTTTTTTGTTCTCTTTCATAGGGCATGTTTAGTTTAGTTTATACTACGGCAATGCTATGGAGAAGCGGAGTCTCCTAATACAGGCGCAGTTTTGCTCAAAAGGAGGCTCCAAATCGTTGTAAATATAATTTGTATTTTTTGTATTAATAACATAAATTATAGAGACACTTTCACTATACATAGATGTAAGGTTTCCCTGGCACAATTCTTTATGCGGGAATAAAACACAAAATAAACTTACGTTTACTTGCGTCAAATCCATGGATCAAGAGGCAACGCTCAACCCATCGAGTGATTATAAGTTTTTATGCTCCCACGACCAATAACAATACAAACAGATAAGTTGTACCAACACAACATTTAAAAAAAACAGGAGCACCACCCGAATCCCGCGCAATTGTGCTCAAAGATTTTTAATAACAAAAAACAACTTATCAGACGGAAGATGCTGTTGATATTGTACCAATAAAAGTTGAACTTCTAAACAGTACTAGTTCTCTTATTTCGGACACAGTTCATTAGTAGAATTGGAGTCGAAGAGGGTCTGGATAAACTGGCTGCTGGTACAAATAAGTTCGACAAAGAGGTTTGTTAAAAGAGCATTGGGTTCCAACAAAACGTTATTAAATCTTATTTCAAGGATAAGGATATTTTCAACGGAGTTCTATTGTTGGCCTTGGCGCCTTTTCATTGGGTTATTGCCATAATTATTTGGTATACAAACTTTTTGTGTTTATTATGTTCTGGAGTAGGGTGCGCTGCAGCTGGATTGATTCAGACTGTGCATTTGAGTCTTGTACAATTATATGCTTGAAATTTATTTTACGATGAAGTCTGGCATTCAATAAACATTTTGCCAAGAATTAAAACAAATACTTTATACAGAATTCGCCAAGACAGTGACATAACACAGCATATTTGGCTATTAAAAACTGATAATACACATGTACAAACATTAAGAAAAACCACTTGTAAAGACACGAAAAAGAGAAAAAGTCTCAAAAGAATTTTAAAGAAAAAAAAACACCACATTTATGGAACTGATACGTTCTAAACGCATTACACAACAAAAACATTATATCGACAATGAAACGCATTGTTGCATCGTTCCAGACGATTAGCCCGCGGCGGTGACAATGCAACAAAATGAGATGAAAATGTCAAAATACTATCTGTGACAACAATCACAAATGCAGCACAAGAATAAATAACATCCCAAGCAAACCAAACTTAACCTTACACCGTTGAAATAAAGGTTATAGAAGTAGCAGAAGAAAATTTTTCTTGTAACACAACCATGATTGCCACAATAAGATTTATCTGAAGTAACACTAGAACTTGTGCGGATATCATTTGCGATTTTTTGTCGCACTGCGTTAAATCGTGCAGTCGCGATAACAATGAATAAGCTATTGAACGAAGGAATTGTTGAGAAAGCAGGAAGACGTTTTCGTTGTTTCGCAAGTTGGGCATCAGCGATGAGTGGAGTCGTCTCTTTTATATTATCTCTCTACTAAGTTTGGGAAATATTAAATCGCTTTTAATAACTCCCAAACATACCAGATATTATTATCGTTTTTACGTTTATTACACACTAAGATTAAATCATCAAATATTTTGCTTAAGCTTTGTGTACTAAACATTTTTTCTACTTCCATACAGATCTACGTAAAGTAAGATATAGACCAAGACCATTTTCAAGAACACTTTTGCAAAACGACAGCACTACAATTAAAACTAAAGCAACTCGAACAAAATTTCTATCACCAACATCGGGTCTATTGCTTTGAAAACAACGGCACAGTTGAAGGAGCGTCTTACCCGCAAATAATTGGCCTACAACATCCACTTGCCCCAGGGGATTTTCGGATTAAACTTTATTACATCTGGAAAAAAAAACTTCTAGTCGTACGTTGCTGTCGAACGTGCATTGTTCGCGCGTCGGCTTTTGTGACAATTCACTATTTGCAGCAAGAGGGCAATCCTTTTAATGCGAGAGACATTCGTGTTTGTATTATGTATTATGTCATGTACGTCTCTTTATGTCATGTGCTCGGCTATTTCACTTACGCCGATTGTATTGCTTTTAGGAGATTCGTACCTAGTGTTGTTATCAGGTTTTTTGTTGATTACGTCCTTTTTTGGAGGTTTAGTATCTGGCTTATTAGAGTGCTTTTGGCTGACTGTTACGACTGTTGTTGGGAAGATATTATTAAGGGCCTTTTGATCTTTGAGCTGTGCTTGATTAAATGGGAATACATTGGTAGAATACGTACTTTTACTGATGGTATTTTAAATATTAGCTTTATGGGCTACTATTTATGTGTTATATCATTCATGGACATCTTTCATCGAAGCAAGTTTATTTGTCTAAAACATAAAAACCATCCCTGTAATTCCTTCAAGCAATAACCAAAACGAAACTCCAATAAACTTGTACTGTACCTAATTGATACTAACCTATGTTAATATCTCTTGTTTCATTGCAAGCGTTATCTTTCCACTTATGAAGTATCGGAACTGCCTCATTATTCAATTCTATAATCTGTATATTCAATATGCATACGTATTCTTTTTATATTTATTTCTAAATATCTCCTTCCCACATAAAGTAGTATATAACCTCTCCCATCCCCTACGACATGCATCACTCAACGTCATTGCAAGTCCTCTGTTGCCCTGAGAGTGACGTGGAGGAGGGAATCAATTTCCTGCTCTCACATCGAACACTTCACAACCACTTGCCTGTACAGTACCCGGCGATAAAAATTGCACATTGATTTTTGGAAAGAGTCTATGATTCAGGGTCCGTTTTGTATCATACGATTTGAGAAGCAAAAAGAAAACGGGGGCGCCTATGGACACTCATTAGATAAGAGGAGTTACGACTGCGTTATCGACCTATTTGGGAATAGAATTCCGACGATTTATTTAGGGATGCGGGAAGAAAAGGATTGGGCCTCAAGTAACCTCGCTTACGAGGCGAAACACAACGCTGTGGTTGTTTCACGCTGGTTTTCTGTGAGGTCGTGGTGTCACTCCGATCGAGCCGACCCATTTCTGCCGAAGTTTGGCTTTCCCATACTTGTAAAAACTTTATCTTTTCATTATTTTTAAAGGTGCTTAATTGTTTTAGCAGCTAAATTTGACCCGATATTCTTTTTAAAGGTCGATGTGCAGTGTCGATTGCCAGGCACTGTTATTTAAAATGCTGTGACATTTGACGTATGTAAGTAGGCACGGAGTGTATAGAAGTGCGTTTTTGGAAATGTATTTCTATTTTTAGTTATGTTGCTGCTTTGTTCGTTGAGTGTTTTTGGGGTGGTAAGGGGTTTTGGGTTTGATGTCTAAGTTTGGTATGAATTTTTGGGGTTCCTGTTTTTTTTTAAATCAGTATCAGATGGTACTTGGTTAGGCTAAGTAGGTCTTCTATTGTAATAGAGATAATAAACAAATAAATTGGATAGAGATAGTGGCCCAACAAATAAAAAATAAAATAGACAAAGTTTTCTAGCTTACTCTATCTACACCAATGAGTTCCTTCGATGTTTAAAAATAAATGGATGGAAAAATACTGGCCATTAGAATGTTACCAATTATCATTCCTTATTTTTAGGGTGGAAAATCATCGAATAACTTCTCTGGCTTTCAATATTTTTAACCAAATATATTCGAACAAGAATTGGAAATTCGATATCCAATTTCGCTAATGAATGGTGTACTGATCTTACAGGTAGTCAGCCAGCTTAAGAACTAAGGTTTGTAGCATATAAACCTAACTAGAAATATAAAACATTTTTTAAACGTTGGCCCACACTAAGATTGCCTTATGTGTCTTAGGTTAAACATATAAATCAGAGGTTCCCAAACTTTTTTTTCTCATAGACCACTTTAAACATTTTGCTGGATCTGGTGGACCCCCTGCAACTATTACATTTACTAACTTACTTCCAAAACCCGAAAAAAGTATATGTCTATGTAAGTCTGTGTTGTGACTATTTTTCAATCAACTCTGAGTTTTCGAAAAAAAAACGTGAGAATTTATATTGCTTTGATTATGCTGTGAGTCTAAAAAGCGTATTCATCCAACAGATTCCTACTTCACTTTTTTGTATTCTAAGATTGACTCACAGTATAAGAAACCAAAAAGCTCCCACTTCGGAGTGATAAAAAGTAAAAATAAATATTTTCTTGTTTCGTAACTATTTATTCAAACATAAAAATTACTACACTTTTAATATGCTGTTATAACAGTCTTAGTAGAATCAAAATTTAACATCAAAACTAATAATCATTAGTACCTATTTTAAAAACAGAAGAAATATAATCAAAATTTATAATTTAGATTACATAGCATTTCTTGCAATATAATCAAAATACTGATATTGAAATTGATTGTCGACAGTACAGTCGACACTTCTTAGATTCACTTTCTATTTTGAAATTCCGGAAACAACTGAGTGATGTTTATCATTCGCATTCCTACTTATATTAGGGAAAAATCCAACAAGTTCTTGCAAGTTCAGATACGACTTTAACTAGGCGAACGGGGCGTGGAATCGGCGTGTCTTGACTTGACACGCTCTTTCTGAGTATGGAATATGCAGGTTCTTACAAAAACAATTGCTGAGCTTCTTATAATTTTGTCTTTCTATATTCATAGGAGAAGTCAAGTCGGGTCACCTAATACATTTTTATAGTGTTGTGGACCCCCATTCTTTTTCCACGCAAGCGTAGACCCCTGTCGGGCCCCCGTGGACCCCTGGGGGTCCACCTGGACCACTTTGGGAATCTATGATATAAATTCACATACAAAAGCCACCCAGATACAAAACAAAAATTTTTGGATCAAAAAAGTGTTATTCGTGCGGGAATCGAACCTGCGACGTTGCGACTGTCAGTTTCCCAGCCACTGTGTCAATTAATAAAAATATTGCAAAACCAAAACGTATTAAAAAAAATGTATTGTTTTTAAAATGAGTACTTTTGACTAGTATCTTGAAAGAATAGCAGTCATATATGTCCGGAACAGCCGTTTTGTCGCTTACCTACCATAAAAGATACAGTGACGAAAAACTAACCCAATGTAAATATATAAAAAGCACCTAAAATTAATATACATAAGACACATTACAAAACAACCATTAAAATATTTGATTTCGTTACGACCTACAACATTTTCCGTACCTACAAAAAAAAAAAAACAATATAATCCTAGCCATTTACATAACAATCCCATGTACTTAGTGTAGGTACTCGTACATCTTTGCCGGGACCAACAAAGGGTTGTCTGTACAATCCCACGGCAAATGTCATTGTACATGTTACGTGACGTCATAATACTACAACGCCCCACACGTTGTACTAAATAAATAGCCCACGCGCAACCCACTCTATTTTGCATTAAACTTCAAAGACATATGAGGTTGACACTAAGCGCTTTTCGTGTCACATCCCCCCCCCCTTTTGTCCCTTTTATAATATCTTAATTCACACCCCTAGCTATTTAACTCGGTCAACCCAAAATGTATTCTAACGCCAAGGCATAGAATGACAATTTAATATAGCTGACCTTTGAAATGTAAATCCGTTTTCGTGGCACTCAAATTTGGAACGTAACTTTAATTGTTAAGGTTAATATTTCTGTGTTTGAGTTGCATCGTTTGCCAGGGGTGTACGTACTTGAAAGCGACGCTAAGCAGGGTTGTCGGTGCGCTTTGTAATTAATACATAGGATGGCGCCATTGATATGCCAAATTGCCAATTGTGTGGTAACAAAGGATTTTTTTGTAAAGGGGTGCGTTTTTATTGAGACCAATGTTAAGCCGAAATAGATGTAATAATTTGATTTTTTATTTGAGCTCCACGCTATTACTGGACGGATTAAAAATGTAATAGAAATGAGAATCAGAGGAGACTTGATGTGACAGACTCATGATATCTTCTATAAGTGCTGAAAATGACCACCGGTTTGGTTTTAGGGATTCACTGCATATTCCCGACTCTAAGGCTTTTAAAGTACCTAAGAGGTCTTCTACCTTCAATATTTTATTAAACATTTTGGTAGCAGAAGAGCAAGAGATCAGAAAAATATTGGTGTAGATTAGCTCCAGATCACTTAGCTTACTACCTAACTATCAAAGGTCTGCTTTCAATAGACTACATATTAAGTCCTCATTCACGGACAAGCGGCGCGTTGTGGGGTCCATCATACATTGCTTTTAATGTTCATGTGTTTGTTTTTGCGCGGGTAATGACGAGGTCTGGTGCTGCAATGTACAACAAAGCGTTGCTACGCGTCGTGGATCTAATTCATAAAAGTAACCGATGTTAGTTCATACAAATAAAGTTCTATATTCAAAATTATTCGATACATTATAGAAGGATTTTTTCTTTAGTCTAGGTTTAAAACATTGAGTCACGTTTTGAATTATGAATCTTATGCTCATCTACCTTCAATTCGAAATACAAAATATGAGTCAATGGTTTTTTTTTTGTAAATTATACCAACGTCAATGAATCCGGCATTTATTATTAACGGGCCCATAAGGTTATTTTTTTTAAAAGAAGATAAAAACAAATAAAGATTATGCAGAAGCAAAGGTATCACTTGTCTTATCCTCTTTGGTTTAAGCCAACATTTTACTCGTCATCATCAATAAAAACTCCAGAGATATTTGTTACTGGCCATCATTTTTGTTTTCGTCCCTTGCTTGTTTCGGCTTCAACCCCAAAAATTTATGGTGGAACAGCTACGTGTGTGCCGAATTAGTTAACTCAAAGTCGCAGAGATGGCGCTGTAAACGAGGCTTAGGGTCCAAATGAATAAGTTCATTTGTGTTTTGATAGATGGCAGTAAAGTAAGTTTTTATCCTTTTTTTTGATGTTGTACTTCAACGTTACAATTATAGTACGAGTAATGTAGAAAAAAACAGTTGAGTTTAGCCCTCTAATTTACTATAGGTTAGTTTTTTATATTAATATAAGATTAGTTAGTACGTAGTTGTATTTTTTACATGGTGAAAGTCTTCGAATAACTTCCCTCACCCTGGGTAGATTAAGATAGGGTGACTTTATCCTGGTGTAGGCTGGAGCCGCAATACATTATTGAGCTGTGCTGACTGTTCACCTTCATATTACAAAAAGCCTAGTAGACTAACCCCCGGTTTCCGAAAGGCCGATTAATGTTAAAATCAATTTAATCTATTGTCAAGTCATCTGATTGGTTGACTGTATTATCAACAACCACAAGTAATAACAAGTTAATTTTGGCGTTGACAAGCCTTTCAGAAACCGGGTGTTAGTCATCAAGTATTTATATGGTACATATTACATAGGGAACCAGGCTCTTACTAAAGTCACTAGCGATTTCACATCATCAGCCTATACGTGCCCACTGCTGAGCAAAGGCCTCTTCAAACAAGGCTTGAGCATTAATCACCGAGCTTGCTCAAGACGCATTGGCGAGTTAGAAATAAGAAATTCAGGTATCGTAACGACGTTCACACTTATCGTTATCAAATAAAATACGAAAATTAGGATCTACATAATTATGTTGTCAAATCGAAGACAATATTGTATTGTCTTCGAAAGCCGAAATAATTGTTGGACATTAGGAATGTACCGTTGCAAGCTTTCCTTGAAACACCAAGAGGACTTTAGAGCAGGTTTGCAAGAGGACCTGTAGTAAAGAGGGATGGAGTTATAAAAGGTGTGTAGTTCCATCCCTCTTCCTCGCCCGGAAGATTCAAGCTTTAACACTTTATGGTAGGTCCTCTGGTTCACAGGTAAATCATTTCCACTAATCAACATGTTGGACTATTAATTACTATAATGCCATTCATTAATTTAATTCAAGGCTTTATTTTAGTATTTTTCGAGCTGGTTAGGTAAAACTTCTTTTTTTATGTAATAGGTCGGCAAATGAGAAAACGGATTACCTGATGGTAAGCAATCAGCGCCGCCCGTGGACACCCGCAACGACGGAGGAGTTACAAGTGCGTTGCCGACCTTTTGGGGATTAGGGATTCGGAGATTTTGGGAATGAGGAAGGATCTTTCCTCCTCCCCCAGGGGAGGATTGGGCCTCCGGTAACCTCACTCACGCGGCGAAACACAACACTGTGGTTGTTTCACGCCGGTTTTCTGTGAGGCCGTGGTATCACTCCGGTCGAGCCGACCCTTTCGTTACGAAGCATGGCTCTCCCACACTTAAAAACACTAGTTCGTATGTTTTAAGTCCAATATATTATTTATTCACAACGTAATACACAGTTTTACTTGATTTCGTTCGTTTTTAACCGACTTCAAAAAAGGAGGAGGTTTACAATTCGACGCGTATTTTTTAAATAAATGCGATGTATCTATAATGTGACAAAAGCTGCGACGTCATTACTATCAATGTCAGACGAAATTCACACAAATGTGTCAAAATTCGTTTGGACTTTTCAAATATTCTATTGTATTTTTCTAGTTGTCTTAATCTCTTTTAAGCTAGACCTTCATGAGTTGAGAAGACCTATGGCCCAGTAGTGAACTAGAGAAAGAACTCTTTTGATAAGGATGAAATATGATAAATCAAAATCCAAACGGTAAAATATGAATACTGAAATTTAAACTATGACTGTGGATTTAAAAGTAGGTACTTATAGAATATTTTTTAGCACAATTTTTTCTTAATTAGATAACAAAAGATAAAAAGTTCAAATTATTTTTACGCAAGCAAGTAATAAAACCACTGAAAACACTGAGTATTCATAAGGTTTTAGCGAGCGCAAGCGTTTTGTTCCGCTACTACTCACTAGATGGCGCTAGGAGGTTGTAAAGTTACAACAGAACAACGAAACTTAGAATTGAGAATAAAATTTATATTTTCGTGACTATTAATTAATTTAAATATACAACAAAGAAGAAACAATAATTCTCAGCAGCGAATCGATAGATATTGAACATTTAACTATGAATAAACTTAACCTAAAAACTTTTGACATCAAATCAAATATTAGTTGCCCTGTAAAACGGGGTACAAAATACCCATTCTAAATATAAAACTACGTAGTTAGTTTCGATGTTATCAAACGCTAAAAACTATAAAAGTCACCCCTAAAATAAATCACCTATCAATAATGATACCGCAAAACAAGTTGAATTTACATTACGGCACTGCGCGATGACGATTTTAAAAATAAAGGGGCATACTGATAAAGGTACGTTCTCATTGATACTCTCTATATTAATATGGAACCTAAAATTGTGAAAATATGTATTGTATAATATCATAGAACAAAATCGCTTCCCGCTGTCGGTCTCTTCGAAGGCGTAATTCTTTTAAACAACGTGACATATTTTGATGTGGTTTTTTTATTAGATACAATGATTCAAGAGGAAGTTGTAAGTGTATTATTTATTAGCGACCAGCTCCGGCTTAGCAAATACTGATATTAAATTTTCTACATGAGACTTCATCTTAAATCGCTATCTACTAAAAGGAATCGCATTAAAATCCGTTGCGTAGTTTTAAAGATTTGACTTTTAACGAAAAGTGATACAAAATGTAAAACAACTTTCCGTCGGCGTTGCGACTATGGAACTACTCTTTCCTGTATAGGTTAATTATTGCTTAGACAACACAGCAATAACTGGGTGAATTTGTTGGAGTATATTTGGAGTTCAAAATAAAGTCTAACGGGCTGTTGACGTTGTTTTTAACCAAGTAACCGCTAAGCAGTGTGATCCATACCAGAAGGTGTTCTCCGCATGGTATATGCAACATGAAGTGTCTACAAAATCTAAAACCTGAGTGAATGGTTTCTTATGGGCAAGCGTGATACATCGTAGGCTTTATCATCACTTACCAGCAGGCGAGATAAAGCAAATAAAAAAACTTACTAACTTATAAGTTCCTGTCTCGATTTTGCGTTTCATTTCAATCGAAATTTCACCAATGTACACACAGCTTAATTCCATAGCAAAACATTTAAACAGCAGTCACGAAACAAATAATGCCAAGCAGCCATCACATTAATAGATTGACGTGCTCAAAACTGTAAAATTACCATTCCGAATGCTATCCGAGAAAGAAAAAACCTTAAAAAAATGACAACGGGTGTCCTTTTAACGGTAGTCGGGTTTGTGAGGTATAATCAGGGGTATAAATCATTGTTATTATATTACAGCTTCGCCCCGTTGTTTTGGTTGTTTTTTTAAGAATTTCTTATCAAAAAGTAGGTCATAATTTGAAAACACATTCTTAAATGTACCTTTATACA